TTTCGTTTTTTAGGTTGACCCTTTTTAATCCTTTTTCTGGACTTATTTCTTGCAGAATAATCTGCATATCACAGTCACCTCTTTGATCGCTGCTGCGGTTGTTTGGATGTCAGAATTTCCCGCTAGACTTAATCCAATAATCTTGCCGCTGATGGCTTCGATTAAAAGAGAGCAGGTAGCAATTGAAATTAAATGTTTGTTTTCATGTACGCTGAACTGAACACTGACTCCGCTGTTTTCAGGAACAAATACTACAACAGAAAGCTGCTGAAGCGCTTGCAGAACTTATTGCTTACTGCGTAGATCGGAAGCCGAGCCCCAATGACAAGTTAATCAAGAATATTTGTAGCTTGACGTGCATGGATCCTAGCGAAACACCTCAAGCTAGTATCATTAGGTCTATAGATATCGTTGATGATCTGGACTTCCTGTCCTCGCGAAGTAACGCAGGAAAACAGAAGGCAAAAGTAGCGTTGGCTGGTAGCGAAGACAGGTCTAACGTTGAGGGTTTTATCACCAGGAGAGGAGCTGAACTTGCATTGAAGCATTTAAGCGTGAAATTTGGTGGTTCCTTGTTTGACAAGCTCCCTAAATTGTGGGAGTGCCTCACTGAGGTTCTTGTTCCTGTAGTTCCTGAAGATCAACAGAATTTTGACCTTAAAATAGAGTCTGTCTCTGATCCACAGGTCTTGATAAACAACATTCAGGTACATCCAGTGAAGTGTTTTGCATATATATGATTTTTCAATTTCTTGCGCCAGTAGGGATGTTTTACCCGAGTTATTTAAATGGTTAGTTTTAGGGATTGGCCATCATACCTCCTTTAGATAAACAGTGAAGCTTGTTATTGAATTTGCAGAGCCGTAACTTGATGCCTTTTATTTTATCTGTTTTTCAGGTTGTACGTTCCGTGGCACCAGTGATAGAAGAAACACTGAAACCTAGATTACTTAGTCTCTTGCCTTGTATTTTCAAATGCGTTCGCCATTCCCATGTGGCTGTTAGATTGGCTGCTTCTAGATGTGTTATGACAATGGCTAAATCAATGACAATAAATGTCATGGCAGCAGTAGTGGAAAATGCTATTCCAATGTTGGGAGATTTGACATGCATAAATGCGAGACAAGGCGCAGGAATGCTTATTGGTTTGCTTGTTCAAGGACTGGGTGTAGAACTGGTTCCATATTCTCCTTTATTGGTTGTTCCCCTCCTGAGATGCATGAGTGATGTTGACAGTTCGGTCAGGCAGAGTGTGACACGTAGCTTTGCTGCCCTTGTACCTATGCTTCCGTTAGCTCGTGGGGTTCCCCCTCCTGTAGGGTTGAGCCAAGATCTATCCAGCAATGCAGAGGACGCCAAATTTTTGGAGCAGCTACTTGACAACTCCCATATAGATGATTACAAGCTTTGCACTGAGTTAAAAGTTACATTGAGAAGGTAATTTTCGTAATATAGATTAAATGAAAGCTGTTTCTCTGTTGTGCCTTTCTCTGTATCATTCAAGGTATCTGTACATTTTTATGATTTGGTCGTTTCACTGGCATTCTTTCCCTTCTTGCCTTGTTATTCTCAGTTGCATCTATACAACATTGAGGGTGGTTTGTTAGCAATGGTAGGACATTACACCTGTTGTTGGGTTAACCAGGGTAAATCTCAGGAAAAACATTCTGGTGCTTGCCCGGTTCTTGATTGATAAGATTATACGTATAGTAACGTATATCAGTTTTCTAAATCGTTGAACTGTTTTGATAAGAACTGTATTGTGTTTTTCAAATGTTTATTCTCGAATATTTATCAGTTTTCTGATTTCAGGTATCAACAAGAAGGAATCAATTGGTTAGGATTCTTGAAACGTTTTAAGCTTCATGGAATTCTCTGCGATGATATGGGGCTTGGTAAGACGCTTCAAGCATCTGCAATTGTGGCATCTGATGCAGCAGAGCGTCGTGGCTTAACAGATGAACCAGATGTTTTTCCATCTATAATTGTTTGCCCTTCGACACTAGTTGGCCACTGGGCGTTTGAAATTGAGAAGTATATTGACCTTTCTCTGCTAAGCGTGTTGCAGTATGTTGGTTCTGCTCAAGACCGCGTTTCTCTCCGTGAGCAGTTCAAGAACCACAATGTCATTATCACATCTTATGATGTGGTCCGCAAGGATGCTGATTATCTGACACAGTTCTCATGGAACTATTGTATTCTGGATGAGGGCCACATCATTAAGAATGCGAAATCTAAAATTACTTCAGCAGTAAAACAGTTGAAAGCCCAACACCGACTTATCCTTAGTGGAACGCCAATACAGGTTACATAAGAGTGCTTGACTTTCCAAAAGTTTAATACATGTGCTTTTATCTTCTGACTCATAGCGTTTCCTTTTTCAGAATAATATCATCGAGCTGTGGTCCCTTTTTGACTTTTTAATGCCTGGATTTCTTGGAACAGAGAGACAGGTAAGCGCTATTCATATTCCCTGCTGTTATACTGTTACAGATGACCAATTTTCTGTATCACTATGGGATAATCTCTGTTGTCATAAACAAGCATGTGTTTCTTTATTGGGCAGTTTCAAGCATCTTATGGAAAACCGTTACTGGCTGCTAGAGATCCTAAATGCTCTGCTAAGGATGCTGAAGCGGGTGTACTGGCGATGGAAGCACTCCATAAGCAAGTAATGCCTGTTTCTGGAGTTTATCTATTGCGGCTTTTGGAAGCTATTTCCCTCTGTTGCATTTGTTTAAAACTTTTTGGTAACATTATTCCTGATAACATCTTTGTACCTCGTAGGTTATGCCATTCTTATTGCGGCGTACGAAAGAAGAAGTCCTCTCTGACCTGCCAGAAAAAATCATTCAGGACAGATTCTGTGACCTTAGTCCTGTTCAGTTGAGGCTTTATGAGCAGTTTTCTGGTTCGCATGCTAAGCAAGAAATATCTAGTATCATAAAGGTTGATGGATCAGCAGATTCAGGCAATGTGGAAGTTGCGCCAACAAAAGCATCTACACACGTTTTCCAGGTAGAATTCTGTTTCCTGCAACATTGAAGACAACGTAATCACTCCCACCTGATTTTGTTTTGGTGTTACTTTTCCAGGCGCTGCAGTACCTGCTTAAACTCTGCAGTCATCCGCTTCTTGTTCTTGGCGAAAAGGTTACAGAGCCGGTGGCTTCTGATTTAGCAGCAATGATAAATGGATGTTCAGACATTATCACTGAGCTTCATAAAGTTCAACACTCGCCAAAGCTTGTTGCTCTTCAGGAAATTTTAGAAGAATGTGGTATAGGTTCTGATGCGTCTAGTTCAGATGGCGCTCTTAGTGTAGGCCAGCATAGAGTTCTGATATTTGCACAGCACAAAGTAATTTCATATGAAATCTTGCATCTCTAAGTTCTTCCATATTTTCTCCAAGATCTAACCATGTCAATTCATGCAGGCTTTGCTGGACATCATTGAAAAAGACTTGTTTCAAGCCCACATGAAAAGGCGAGTTCAACTTGTGAATTTATACTCTTTTTTATTATATAACTGTCTAGTTTATCTGACTATGTATTGTTTAAATGAATTCGTAATATCTGTTTGTTGTGTTTCTTATTCTTAATTAACTTATCCTTAAAACTCGCTTCTTCAATTTGTTGCTTATCTGTTTATGCCTTTTTCTTGAAAGCAGCGTCACATATATGCGACTGGATGGTTCAGTTGTACCCGAGAAAAGGTTTGAGATAGTGAAGGCCTTTAATTCAGATCCCACAATTGATGTTCTACTTTTGACAACACATGGTATGCTTTTTCCACTCAGCACTGTAGTTCTTTTACAATCTTATAGAGTAGATGTTGTGACCAAGTTATAACTGAAACAACTTATTTTTGCTCGTTCAGTTGGTGGACTTGGATTGAACCTGACCTCTGCCGACACGATTGTATTTATGGAACATGATTGGAATCCTATGCGTGATCATCAGGTAGAATGGTTTTGAATTATCTTTGGATTTGTGCTTGTAAGCAAGGAGAAAGAGCTTATATATTGTTGTCAATTATAAAAGCTAATTATTGAGGTGAAAAACAAAAATGTGGCAGGCGATGGATAGAGCTCATAGATTAGGACAGAAGAGAGTTGTAAATGTACACCGTCTCATAATGCGTGGCACATTGGAAGAAAAAGTGATGAGTCTCCAGAGATTCAAAGTATCGGTTGCCAATACGGTGATCAATGCTGAGAATGCTAGTATGAAGACAATGAACACTGATCAGTTGCTTGACTTATTTGCTTCAGCTGAAACTTCTAAAAAGGTAATAATACTATTTTATTCTTTTATTGCAAGTCTTGTAGATGAAATCAAAACCAGATTTTGGTGTTCTTCAATAATGGGGTCTTGATTGTATATAGGGTGGTGCGTCTACGAAGAAGGGATCAGAGGATAATGATCAGGCAGCTGGAACTGGGAAAGGAATGAAAGCGATTCTGGGCAACTTAGAGGAATTGTGGGATCAATCACAGTACACGGAAGAGTACAATCTTAGCCAGTTCTTAGCTAAGCTAAACGGGTAATAGCCAGGAGTATCTGTACATATATCTTTTCAGCTCGATTCAGGATAAAAAACGAACATTTTTTTGACGTTCCAAACAGATAAAGAGCTTACATCTCCACTCTCTTTTCCTCCATTTGGATTTGTTGTCACTTGTCAGTAATCTTTTGGATTCATAAAGAAGAGATTAGTTTTAACTTATAAAAGGAGAAAAACAAGGAGAGATTGGAGGTAGGAGGAGATATTTAGTCGTTAGTTTTGGCAATACGACCGGTCTAATGTTTGTGACCGCCAAAATAGCTTATGTAGTGATTCTGAATCGTGTAAATACGTTTTTTTTAAACTTAGTTTTTTCCTCGGCTGTTTCAGCTTTTATAGTTAGTTTTATGTTTTTTTGTACTTTTTGTGGTGGGTTGTTTTGTCGGTGTTCAAGTCTGGAGGCATAATAACTTTATAAGACAGGTAGAAAGAAAACGCAAAACTCTTGAGTAACTGACAAATCTCTCAAAACCGATCAAGCCTCTAGTTTTCAACCTTTGTGTAAATCTCTTATAAGTTACATAACATATTTTGTTTTACCTATAAAAAAACAAAGCAGCCTGATTGACAATCTGCACTCTATTTACACCAAATCCACTTCACAGAAGACGACAAGAGTTTTTCACAAAAGACAATATCAATCAACAATCTCTCGTTGGCTCGTGAAAGATGAGATGAGATCTGGATCACCAAAGTTCATGAGCAAGTCCAGATACTGCATAGCTTCTTGAGGAGTAAGACCCTGGAGTAGAAAATCAAAGCCGTTAGTATGAGTCCCTCTCATAACTTCCAAGCTCTGATTCAACAACTTCTTCTGCTTCTCTTTCCCCATCTCTGCAGCTTCCACCATTGGCAGCAACTCTTTCTCTTCCTCTTCAAAATGTGATTTACACATCATCTGCTCAAACACCAACATAAGTTTCATTACAAGAACACACACACACAAAACTGAAGATATGTTCTGTTACCTGTAATGATCTGAAACGAGAAGCAAGACTAAAGAGCTCCTCAGAACATATCCCAGAGTCCATCACACTAATCGATTTAATATATTCTTTAATCCCATTCATCAACGGTAACTCTCTCCCATGTTCTTCGCTTGCACTCTTACACATCCCTGCAAGAATTCCAAAATCTTGATAAACCAAAATCTCATACGAATCTACCAATTGGTAGCCTAATGGTAATCTCTTGGATTCAGTTTCACTGGACACTAAATTATCACTATTTTGCAAATTTGGATTTGGGTTTTGGCCTAGCTAGTTAACATATTGGACCACTTTCATTAGTCAGAAGATATTCTAAATTCAGATCAGATAGTTTCACTCCTCGACACTAAGTGTGTTTCTCCCCGGTGGACCAAATTAGCCGATTAAGACATACCAAAAAAAAAAAATCTGTTTACCAGCTGGTGGTAGTTTAATGGTAATTTCTGATACATATTCGGGTTCGGTTTTACTGGACACTAGATTATCAATATTTTGTCAATCTGGATTTGGGTTTCGGCCTAAGTGGTTAGCGTAGTGCCCTATAGCAACGGATAATTGGTTTCAATAGTCAAAAGATATTCCAAATTCGGTTCAGACATTGTGGTATGTTTTTAAACTATTTCACTCTCTAACACTAAGTGTGTTTCTACAGGGCCAACCAGATTAGCTGATTAGGACATATAGAAGAAAAAAATCTCTTTACCTCGATCAACAGATTCAAGAACAGGAAAAAGAATCCTCTCTTCCATCTGAGCATGCTCAAGCAACACCTCCTGTAACTGCCCATAACTCCTAACAAACTTCCTAATCTCCATCTTCGGCGTCCCCACAGACCTATCAACAGCTCTCCTCCCTCCACGTGCCGCCAGATCCTCCGCCCACCTCAACATCCTCTCCACGTGCCACGTCACACTCCTATGCTGAAGCCAAATCGTTTTAACTATCAACGGAGTCCCTTCGTCGAAGCCTTCCAAGTTAAACTTCCATATCATCAGCCTCGGCTCCGGGAACTTCTCCTCTACGTAACGGAGGAGAACGTCCTTAGATCCCGACGTCTTCTCCGATCCGATTTGGATCGTCGGTTTTTCGTCTGGGGAAGAAGGGATGAAGCGGAGGTTTAGTTTCTTGTGGAGGAGTGCGAAGCGGAGGTATGAAGTTGTTAGACTGTTTGAAGGTCCGGAGAGTTTCACTGTGACGTTGGACGTTGCTGTTGCTGTTGCTGTTGTTTCGACGGATGTTGCTGACGCTGGAGTGAGTGGGAGGAGGCGAGGAGGTGGAGGGAGAGTTTGTGCGGCGGGGGGAGGAGGTTTGACGGCGAGGTCGAGGGGAGAGATCTCGGCGGTGGATGTGGAGGAAGTGGAGAAGCAGTTTCCCATTTTTGGGAGAAGGGATTGGGAAGAAGGGAGAAAACGTGTGGGGGAAAATATAGAATCTAAGAGATGGAGAGGAAAGAGAGAGAGGGAAGGAGTGAGATGCAAGTTAAGTGGAGTGAGAAGAGAAGATGAGATTGTTGAGAAGAAAAAAGGTGTCACGACATTATCACACCCCAAAAGGTTAGGGGGGATATATGAATTTTATTCTTCTCCCTTGATCATAGTGTTTTTCTGGAAATTGAATATTTTTTTTAAATAATGTTTTGTTTTATTTCATGTACAAAAAACAAAAAAAAAACACAAAAATTGAGATTTCGATCGACTCTTTGGGTGTTGGTCGGATCACAGTCAATAATTGACTAGGACCAATTACATTAATGCTTCATAGTGTTTATCAAAAAATGAATATTTTAAATTATTTTTTTTTTTGTTTTATTTCATGTAAAAAAAACAAAATAAACACAAAACTTGAGGTTTCGATCGACTCTTTGGGAGTTGGGTCGGACCACAGTCAATGATTATTGACTAGGACCAATTACATTAATGCTGGTTTTTTTTGTTTGTTTGTTTCTGAATATAAGTTTATTTTAAGCTTAGGATATATGAATTTTATTTCTCTACTTGATCATAGTGTTTCCCAAAAGTTGAATATTTTAAAAATATTTTTTGTTTGTTTATATAAATAATAAATAATAAATAAAAACTGAAAATTGAGATTTCGATTTCGATCGAGTCTTTGGGACTTTGCGGGATGATCACAGTAATAATAGTCGTCGTGACTTAGATCAATTACGTTAATGCTGTTTAGATTTGTTTGTTTTTGATTATATATTTATTTTAAGTAATTTGACCCATTTAGACAGAAAAAAATCTTTTTTTTTCCTGTCGAGTCGTATGAGAAGTGGAAAAAATTGTTTTTCCTTATTGATTGAGAGTTTTAAAAAAATAATCTAACTATGGCAACGAAACTTTCATTTGTAGTGGATAAAGAGAGGTATTGTATGTTGTTCAAAAAAAAAAAAAAGAGAGATATTTGTAATTACTGTCTAATTAGTTCAAAAGTGGTATATAATGGAGTAAAAGTTTTACGGTATAATTTGGTCTGTAAGATATTTTATATAGTTGTAGCAAATGTAGTTGTAAAAATTAAATTAAAAATAACAAAACTAGAAAGATATTTTTATGATAATATTTTTTTCTACATCAAATAAATTAGTGCTTTGAAAAACAAGGATACTACAACTTTTTTTTTATTTTTTTATTTTAACTTCAAAAACTATATAAACACATGCTTAGTAATTTTTATAATTGTAAATGAAAATTAAAGTTAAAATTATTAGCTACAATTCTGGTTAGGGTTGTGACTTTTATCCGGAATCCGAGATCCGTTCCGAAATTAGGATATCATGAGGTGCCCAAATCCAAATTCGGATAGTAAAATTTCAGATCCGTCCAAACCGAATTCGGATATCTTAATTTTTACGTCCGGATTCAGATCTGTATTTTAAAAAATATATTGAATTTTTTTTTTTATTATTAATTATATCTAATATTTTAATATTTATACATAAAATAAGTTTAATAATATTCTACTTTGATATTAATAATATTCTACTTTTATATTAATAATATATATTCATAAATTATGCTTAAATATTTAGTTTATGTATTATTTTTAGAATTTTTGATTTTTTTTAATTTTTTTAATTATTTTTACGGATCTGAATCCGAATCCGGATACACACGGATATCACAATATCTAGACGGATATCCGAAGTCCGGATATCCGGAAGACTCGAATCCGAATCCGGATATTAAAATCACGGATCCGTTGCATCCGAATCCGCATCCGTATACTTCAAATTTCCCATATAGCCGGATTCTTTTGTCAATTTTGTATGATCTCCAATATAAATGTGAGATGCTTTCCCTCCCCATATCTAATTTCTTTGGTGCAGCATTATTATAATTCATTATTCAACTCAACGCTCTAGTGGACCCAGTTCTATTTTATTCGATTATGATTCGTTTTCTTAAATATTTAAGACGAATGATATCTATAAATTTCAGTGGTTATCCATAGAAAGCTAATCTCCAGTGGTTAGCCAACTGCTAAAGTTTCGATAGAAAAATGGAGAACCAAAGATACTTTAAACCCGTTCAATGAAATCAGAACCGGCCTTAGTTTTAGAGGGCTCCAAGCCTCCAAGTAAGGAAAAATAATTGGTCTCATTTCTGTAAATCTGGCCCAGAAGACCCGCTATCTATACAGCAAAACGCTTTTTGCTGAAAAATCGTTAAAACCAGTCCACATTGTTCCTGTTTGGTACCTCTTTTACCTGTAAAGATGCAAAAGTGCGGTGACTGCGGTCTATACCTACAAAACTGCAAAATATATAAGTTCAAACAATTATCTGTCAGAATAATTCTAATACTATGCAAACATCCTTTACTAGAGTAGCTCATCAGTTACGATATATACCATATGGTATTTTCAAAAAAAAAAATTGTTGGCTTATATAAAAGTTATGTTATCAATGAGGATAATTTCAAATATTTAGTGATTTCATTATCAACTTTAGAAACGAGAAGCAAGTATCAGACATGGAGAATGACTTTGTGCCTTTCCTTTTTCTCCAGCCCATGTGATCTTTGCCCCTACTTACCTCGCCTTTACGCTTCGCCTTTTGCCCTTTGATTCATCATCGACAGAGTTCAAAGGCATAAATGAAAAGTAATATAATCTGCTTTACTGAATCCTTATCTTGTTTTTAAAAATTTATTTTAATATGCAAATGCAAAATCCTAAGCTACACTTTCCTATACAAACAACTCACGTCTCACGCCAAAACTTAAAATCACAAAAAACCTTTTCTTAAAATACATATCATTGTAGATAGCTTGTGGGAATGATGATGATGCTGATATGTTATTATAAGTTCAAACATGTACAAACATGAGCATGTGTCTTACGTGTGTAAACAAGGTGATGATGATGATCAAAGACAGATACAAAAGAAACCAAACATCATGACGGGCATTTAAAACCTCCACAAGCAACAACCCAAACGATGAGAATAAAGGACATAACAGCACCTCCCACCATCAGCTTCATCTGCAGGCTCTGTATCCACATTTTCCTTCTTAGCTGCCTCCCTTGTCTCTGGAAACTATCCGCTTGGAATTGAAGGTTCTCCGTTTTGTCGACCAGAAGTTCGATCCTCTCTCCTCTGTCCAGAACCTGTATACATCCACAAAAACCATCACAAAAGGGACAAACCAATCTATTGTGGGAGATATAATGTCAAAATTCTCAGATAACTAGTCTGTTTTAGAACGTATTGGACCTCAAACTTAAAGCAAATACAAACATAATCCATAATGCAAAAGCGACAGATGATAATATGAATCATCACTACAGCACAACTGATTCCTTTCATGAGAAGCAGGGGAGTTCATGCTACATTGATCCCATTTAGCTATCTTTTACACTTCCTCAGTGAAATCCTATCCAGATTATAGACTCATTGTTAATATAGATAAACTAAAAGACATGCATCCCCCAAAACCATTTTTAGTACATAACAAAATAAAGATGGTCAGTCCAAGACTTTTTAGCTGCATGCAACTTCTTAATTCCAAACAGACTCAGAACATCACAGATTTCAACATCGATTGGCGTATGGAGACATAACAGAGTAATCAGCACACAAAATACCATTTAGACTAATGATTAAATGATTGCAAGAATAAACTATTGCTAATTTTATCCGCAGAACTACCATGAAAAAAAGAATCCAGTTATTTGGTGTCAAATAGCTCTTCCATAGGTTGCGACACGTTTAGTACTTTGTCCTATAAGAAATCGTGTGTTTATCTCTTGCAGATAAAACTACTTTCACCTCAAACAAAAAATACAAAGACTGGCGTGCTACTACGTAAGCTAAAATACCTCAGCTTGTTTGTAACTGTCAATTTAAACGACTCCCATGACCAATAATCAGCTTGTTAACCTTTTCCTATAAAATTTGATAATTTTATAAGCAGAACTACCATGAAAAAAAGAATCCAATTTTCAAATAGCTCTTCCAGAAGTTGGGACATGTTTAGTATTCTTTCCCCACCTCAAACCAAAAATACAAGAGGGGCGTGCTACTATGTAATTTATAATATCTCAGCTCGTTTGCATTTGTCAAATAAAAACGACTCCCATGACCAATAATCAGCTTGTTCAGCTTTTTCTATACACTACAAAGAGCATACCTTCTCAATGTTGTCCATCATGATCCCCTTAACATCACTTATTTGTGCCTTCAACTTTGATAGTTTACTCATCTCTTCTGGATGGCTCATACAATACTGCATATGCTCCTTAAGTATAGGCCTATTAAATAGAACAAAAGAAAAAGACTAAGAACACTTTTTCAATCCAAAACAATCACTGATATCAGAAAAAAGTCATGGCTAAAGAGACAAACCCGAACTCCCTGTCAAGGTTATACGCAATACTAAACCGATCCCCAAACAAATCCTCGTCTTCATCATCATCAGCAAGAGGATGTGGCTCATCGTTCTTTATACTCGCTTCATACCGTTTCTTGAAGTCTTCTTTGACCCGTTCAAGGAACACAAAAGGAACACTTCTTCCAGTGGACTCATCAGCAACCACAAGAAACACTAACATATACACAAACACACAATCAAACAAGAAGCAGAACAATAAAAAAAGAAAGCTTTAACTAACTAAAACCATCTCCAACCCACCTCTATCACTATATTTTCCACTAAAATAGAGAATCTCTATTACAGAAGTGGATTTGCTCCAATGTATGCTTCTATAATATAATAGAGTTCGTCTATTATATGAGAAAATATAGAGAAATACTATTTTCATCCCTAAATATAGAAATAAAAAGTCGTATTCTTCTATATTTTACTCTAAAATAGAGGAATTCTACTATAGAGACATACATTGGAGTAAATCCACCTCTATAATAGAGACATTGGAGATGCTCTAACAAACTAACTAACTAATTAATTAATTAACTAACAAACTAACAAACTAACAAACTAACTAACTAACTAACTAACTAACAGTGTGTACAATATAAAAGGATAAGAAAGCTGACCAAAACCACTGTCGACGAGGAAATTGAAAGTGTGACCATCACAAGAGTAAGTATACTTGCTGCTATTAGTGGGAAGCTTCTGGAGACATTGAACAGCGAGAGTGCTAAAGTTTCCTGAATAAGGAGTATGCTCCGCTAAAACAACCGTTCCTTTCGCAACGAAGCTGTATATCAAACCCTTCTGACTCATTTCTGAAGCCCTAAAGTCAACCCAATATACGATCAGATCTGGATTGCAAAATACCAAATAAATAATCAAAATAATCAAAATAAGTGATTGATCTAACACATCGAAACCCTAAAATTACGAACAGTAATCGCTAATTCAGAGAAAGACTTAGTTATCGCCGAAGCTAACGGTTTCGGAACGATCGGATTCAAAAGATCGGCGGTAGTTTTTAGTTCCGGGGAGGGACACAGAGAAATCGATGAAAGGAGGAGAGGAAATCGAGCGAGAATCAAACAAAGCTTAGGAGTTGAAAGAAGGAGACTAGTACTACCTTCAGAGTTGGGTTGGTGATGATGGATTTATGCTCAATTTCTCTGGATTGAGACGATGTGATACGTAATAATCATGCTATGATTAATTCAACACTTTATAAACAAAATTAAAAAATAAAAAAAATATTGTTCAATTGATTGCTTTTGGGGATTCCGGTTCTTCTGTTTTTGTTGGTTTAAACCAATATACTAAAAATTGGTCTAGGTGTCCACCTATACGGCAATTTCTCTTTTACCGAAAGAATTTTTTTTCAAAAAAAAAAATTGATTTATACGATAGAAATCGGTTTACACTATATTAAATTGATTTAAATTATTCTAAAACGGTTGTAATCAATTTAAATTAGTGTAAATGTGTTTATTTAAGTAAAAATATTAGTAAAGAAAGGTGTTAAAAAACATTAGTAAAGAAATACATATTTGTATATTTTATATTTTTGCTAATTAATTAAAATAAAATTATAGTCAAATCAGAAAAAGTAAAATAAATTATATAGTTGTAAAATATATATATAAAATAAACCAATAATTCGTTAATGCTTAGTCCCAATAATCCGTATAGACGCTAGTCTTCTATATAGAACGCCTAGTTACCATCCAATAATTTTTAGAACAATGGTTTAAAGCATATCCATTCTTGCTATTTTGGTTTACATGTTCATTCTTTTCATTTCGGCTTACTTTCTTGTTATACTATGTTCGGCTTACTTCATCAACAGCAAATACATCTGCAAATCTTATAAGAGAATTGATAGAAACGTACACGCAAAACAAAGTTGGAAATTCGATACAATAATATTAATGAATCAAATACGTTTCCCAATCTAAAAGATACTGTGGACAATGCCACAAATTAAAGCAGCAAAAAGTTTTGGAGTAGAGTGAAGAAAACATGCAAACAAACACATAAGAAAACAACAGTGACGACTACTACTACACTTGTGTCTTCAAAAAGTAGTCCCACACTGTTTTCAGACAATCTTTCAGCATGTCTGAAACACACTTCCTCTCCACATTTTCTTCCTGAATATTGCCCACCTTCACATGATACAACTCCTTGGTCTCTTCAACACAAAATCCCATCTTAGGAACAACTTCATACATAACGTTTTCCACATAAGACTTTGGCACATTAGTAGGAAACGATCTCTTGAGTTTTTCCAGTACCCTTTTAGTTATGTTTTCATCTCTTACAGTTTCTGATGAGTTAGCAGATCTGCACCATATATAAATATATATATATTTGAATGTTAAACTTGAAAGAACCATACAAGGACTATCACTAAAATAAAACAAATAATAAAGTTTTTGTGTAAGTAAAATGAGGAAAATTCAAACTCTTTACCTTTTAAATACAACTTTACCAAACCGAGCGAACAATCTGAGGTTAACATCCTCTGATGCATGACGTAGAATCATCTTCTTTGCCCTATTAAATCCCAACATAAGATCATTCTCAACCTTATCTGCTAACCATAGCCATGGAGTTTCAAATTTTTCTGACTCGCTCTTCGCTAAGACCACCAACGGTTTTTCTTCTGATCCTCTCCTCCATTCTGAAGAAACGGGGACAAGTTGAAAGCTGTTGTTTTCCTCTGAACCAACGAGAAACCACCTTGAAATGAAATCGTTTGCGTAGATTATCTTTGTATTTTTGAGTTTTGTATGAAGAGAAGGTGGAACAGAGGATGCTCTGACTGCAACGTTTTCATGTCGTTTATGTGGAGGAACGTAAGACATTTCTGAAGAAAATAACTAGATAACTTTAACGTGTTTATCAAATGAACTCTTAATCTATTGAAGACGAGGTACTAGTGGGAGAAGAGAGCACACAACAAAGCATGTGTTTTATAACGATTAGAGAAGAGGAAACTGGAAAGACATAGTGAAGTGGAAGAGACGGTTCCTAGTCTTAAAGCTTAATCACTAGCTATTATTACAGCCTTGGAAAAGAACATAGCATCCCACTCGTCTTTCAATTTCTATATTCAACGTCTAAAAATATTGTTAGAAACCAAGTGTAATGAGAGCAAAAAATATTATAGAATTTGCAAAATTGTATATTTGAAGTTTGAAAGTGTTATACTCCAAAAGCAAAACTTCAAATCTAATTTTAAAATTATTTGTATTTTATATAATGATTCTTATATTTGTCATAACCAATTCAAATTCATAAAACTTTTATAAATAATTATCACATGTATAAAAATATTATAGAAATATTATTTGATAAAATGTTACACTAAAATATAAAGATAATTCTATTTATAGTTTTACACTAAAAAAATTTAAAAACATATACAAATTTTAAATTTATAAAAATAATTTTGAATTATTTATGAAATATTAATTTTAAAGATTAAAGGATAAATAATAAATATTTAAGATTATTATAAATATGATGTGTAATTGTAAGGACCAAAATGCAAATAAAATATTAAACTTCAAATTTGAAGTTTTGAATAGTGACACTCTATATTTGAAGTTTCACTACTCAAAACTTCAAAGTTGAAGTTTTAGAATTCCTTTTTGTAGAGACAAAAACTACATATTTGAAGTTATAGAGTGTCTTTTGGAGATGTTCTGAGTAGTACTCATTTGTTTTGTTCGATCATATATTTTTACATTTTATGTTACACCAAGTGTGTCAAAACACTCGTCATGTTTGATGTTTTTTCCAGTGATGTGTAAAAGATTTTTAATTCAGCTAAGCTAATATGTTAGCAAGATATTATTGTTGTTTAAGAAACGTATTGCTTTTATAATGTAATCAATTCATTTGCTAGCGAATGTTATTTGAAATAGATACCAAAACCGCGAAGACGTTTCTGCGCAACCTGCGATTTTGAAGCCTGGTTGACAGCCACGTACATGTGATATCATTAACTATCCACTTATTCATGTACAAATGTAATTCTTGTGCTCTTGAGAGTGTGTCAATAATTTATTGTAATTCCAAATTTAATTTTACTTAATATTATCAATTTATCCATGAAATTTGAAAAATTTGACTTTTGTAATTTACAATCATAATAATTCATCATAATTTAGTCAATTTTATAACATTAACTCCTGTGTTAATATATATATATATATATCACATAAACTCCTGTGTTCAAGAAAATAATATATATATATATATATATATATATAACAGAAACTCCATCCATTTAAAAATAATCCATATTCTAGAAAAAATGTTTTAAAATATACAAATTTATCTTTTAATATATTTATATTAAATAATAATGTTAAATTATAAATTGAAAAAAATATTAAATTTAAATTGACTAAAAATTGTAGAAAATAGTTAATCACAAAATAATATTATTTATAATCAAAATTTAAGATATTTTTTAGTGTGTGATAACTTGAAAATATACATTTCTTAGGAAATAATTACTTTATTGTATACATAATATAATATCTACATTTACAACAATTTCAGTTAGACATTTTTAGTCATATAGATATGTTCTAATTAAGCGGTTAAAGTGTATACTTTGGGTTACTATCAGTTAAGTATCTAGCAAACTTTTGGAAAAAGATGCATCTAATTTTAGTTAGGTTACAACTAATTCAAGAGACTATATATCTTGATATACGACATTTAGAAAATTAATAATGTATTCCAATCGGTCAATTTGATAGATTTCCAGAAAGATATATATATATATATATATATATATATATATAATATTCAAGATGGAAAAGATTATACATCTTTCATATAGATGAAAATATATGTATTTTTCAAATTGTCTTTTCTAAAATAAAACAGCTACATCTAAGCTTCCATAATTTTAAAAATAAAATTCTATACAAAATCAAATAAGAATTTTCTGATTCTTAATTTTTTAAAATACTAAATTTTTATAGTGAAAAATCAGATTATTCCATAATAAAAATATTTAAATGATGTTTAAAAAACCTAAACAAAAAAAAAAAATCTACATATAGTTTGGCTGTTATAGTTTTATACTATTTCATATAAGTTAAAATTATACATCTTTTAGTCAAATCTTGGCTTCTATAAACATCCATTGTACTCCCTCCGTTTCAATTCAGTTGTCGTTATAGACTAAAATTTACGCTTTAAAATAAATGTCATTTTATAATTTCAATGCAACATTTATTAATTTTATCTATTATTTTTTATTGGTTGAAATGTGGTTATATGTATAGGTAATTGTGTTTTTAAAAAAATATATAAAACTAAATGTTTTTTTAATCAGTGTATAAAACTCAAAACGACAAATAAATTGAAACGCCCGTTGTATTATTAATGAACAAAAAGTTGTTGGTTTTGCTGTATATATATTAAATGTTACTATATAGTTACATTTACAGTTACTACTTTCAAATAATTTTATAAATTATTTTTACATTGAATTTGACATCATGATTAGCCTTACTGTAAAATTTAATACAATTTAATAATTTGATGTAATTTATACTTAGTTACTTAGCATTTTCAATTCATTTTTCAATATTAGAAAGCTGACATTTTTTGTTGTTTACAATCATAGTATTTCATTACCATTGACTCAATTATATCAAATATATTACTCTATTTTGGACTCAATTATATCACATATATTACTCTATTTTGGATTCCAAAAAGATTCCCAAATTTTTTTTTCTAAAGATAGCTATTCAATAATTGCCAAAACATAAAACGTACAAAAAATTAATGTATGAGAAACGTACAGAAAATCAAAAACACAAAAACAAAATAAGGGACAGCGTGGAGAGTAAAGCTATTGGTAGCATGGCTGCAACAGAAGGCCAAGTGTTTGGTCTTACAACTATTTTATTTTTGTTTCTAACACTTTGTTAATCAGACCCATAAGCCCTTTTACTCTCCTGAGAGAGTCCTGAGGGTTTTATTTAAACTTCCCCTTTCTCATTTCCTTCTTTTAGTAAAAGCCACTTCATTCCCCCAAACACAAAATCTCATCTCTTTTTTTTTCCTCAAGAGTTTTTTTTTTTTTTAATGAAGAGACCCTTAACCACTTCTCCTTCTTCCTCCTCTGTCTCCTCTTCTACTTCTTCCTCTTGTGTCCTTCCGAATCAATCAGAGACTCCGAGGCCTAAACGAGCCAAAAGGGCTAAGAAATCTTCTCTTATTTCTGATGTTAAACCACAGAATCCCACCAGTCCTGCCTCCACCAGACGCAGCTCTATCTACAGAGGAGTCACCAGGTTGAAAAAAAAATTAAATAATTGATTCTTTTTAGATTTGATTTGGATAATTTTTTTTCCTGAAGTGCATTTGGATTGCATGTTACAGACATAGATGGACAGGGAGATACGAGGCTCATCTATGGGACAAAAGCTCGTGGAATTCGATTCAGAACAAGAAAGGCAAACAAGGTTCTTAATTTTTACAAAAAACCCATCTTGATTCTGTAATAAAGATCTGTCCTTTATTTTGTTTTTAATAATCTTATTTTTTTTTTGGTGTTTGATCTTGACTACTTCGTCACTGCCTCACTCTGCGCCTTGTTCTTCTACTCATCAGTTTATCTTGGTAAAATTTTTAATTTTATTAAATTGAGAAATTAAAAAAAGAGTTTGATTTGGTCAAGAAGATGAACGGATCAATCTCAACTGCCTCTGACGCCGTAATTGCAGGAGCATACGACAGCGAGGAAGCAGCAGCACATACGTACGATCTAGCTGCTCTCAAGTACTGGGGTCCCGACACCATCTTGAACTTTCCGGTAAGAAAAAAATAATACTAATTAATTGGATTTATTGATGCATGTGTTTGTTTTTGATGTTAATTAAAAAAAATGATCATGGAAAACAGGTTGAGACGTATACAAAGGAGTTGGAGGAGATGCAGAAAGGTACAAAGGAAGAGTATTTGGCTTCTCTCCGCCGTCAGAGCAGTGGTTTCTCTAGAGGCGTCTCTAAATATCGCGGCGTCGCCAGGTTCTCTCTTTTTTTACTTTTTATTTTAATTACGTGTTTGTTTTTAATTTGATTTGGTAAATTAATTATACCAAAATCAGAAATTAATTATTATTTTTTTCCGTAATTTTTGAAAAGGTAATTAATATGGTGAGGACTGATGACTAAGAAAAAAACAAATTAAAATAGGAAATGTGATTTTTTTGGAAATTAAAAAGCTGGACTTTATTTTCATGAAGATTTGCTTTTAGAATATTCTCTCTCTTTCTATCATAATTAACTTTTGCTTAAGTACTTTTTCCTGCAAAACAATATTGTAAATATGTGATAGTTATTAACTTGATTTTCGCAAATGATTTGTTACATGTATTAAACGTTTTTGTTATTTTTTTGTTATTTTATATTCTGAAAAATAATCGAGAAAGTAATAAAAATTGGAAATTATGGGAAAACAGGCATCACCATAACGGAAGATGGGAAGCTAGGATTGGAAGGGTGTTTGGAAACAAGTACTTGTACCTCGGCACCTATAGTACGTACATCCTTGACTCTTTATTTTTTTAATTAATAATTTGTTAAAAATAATATCAGACTAATTTTAAAAATTGTTAAAAATCATTAGCATAATCGAATATTTTAAAGCACCGGGCATAACGGATCCCTTTATATAAAAAAATTATTCCGGTAATTTATTTTTAAAATTAGAGTGTAATAATGTTTAACTAGTTTTTTTATAAGTCTATTTTATTATACAAGTAATTAAGCAAATATTTAATTGTTTAGGTAGGCAATTAGAATAAACATAATGGGGAGGCAGTGGGCTTTTTACACACTCACGTGAGACGAGAGTTTTGACATCATGTCCCCTCACCTCACCCTAATTGATTTTTATCTTTAATCAAAATCAACTTTTCTTCTTTATTATTTAACTGTCTGATCCCTGCATAATTACCTTTTAAATTCTGCATTTTTGTGGATCCAATACTCTGAACACAAAAATTAAAAACTCTGCAGAAGGGAATATTAACACCAACTCTGTACTGAAAAGTAAAACTACCCTTTTTCAAATGTTTTGATCGGGTCCTTCGAGTATTAAGGATCTAATCTTTTGAAAAAAAATTATGAGTTTTCTTTTGTTTTTAAATTTAATTTTTTGGGGGAGTATTCGGATTAGGTTTTGCGAAAATATAGGCACTGTTATAACGAAAGGACACATATTATTCTTTGTTAAAATAAATAAGAATGGGAGAGCCAGGAGCATAATTACAAAAATAAAAGTAGTAGATATGAATCATGTATAGAATAATGTTACGTTACAAGTGTAAAGGCGCGTGTAGCGCGTAGCTCACGTGGTAACACTCACTTCATAAAAAGGACAAATTAGTTCAGAGGCTAGGACCAAACTCGAGGTCGATCTGGTCTACTTTTTTTTTGTTTGTGTGGTGGTTCATTAAAGAATGGTTTCAAGAGTGAGTCTGTTCTCAGTAGCAGTCACGAGCCCTCACGTGCATGTTTCACCTCTCTCTCTCTCTCTCTCTCTCTCTCTCTCTCTATCTCTCTCTACCATATCTTTCATCTTGTCTTCAGGAACAAAATCTCGTCTCCTTTATTTTTAAATACTAGTACAGTATTAATTATTATCTTATAAATTTTCTTTCTAAATTATTATGTAAATTATGAAGTTAATAGTGATATTTTTTTTTACTTATTAGAGCTTAGAGTTGACACTAGGTGGGTCTTTTTTATTTGCTAAATTAATTAGTAATTGTACGTTCGTGTAATTATTTATATATTATTGCATTTATTTAAGCTACAAACTTGGACTCTTTTTAGTGTTTAGAGCGGCGGAGAGTGGAGTAGAAATGGTCTCGTCCACGCCTCAGCTCTATACGCATAACCCTAGTTGTCCCCACTGACACGTCACCTAATTCCCCTTTTGCTTTTTGTTTTATTAGGCATCGTTTAATTCTAAATAAATTAAATAAAAGACGCATGTTTATTTGGTTTTAGCACTATGTCAAGTAACAAACAATTATGTGAAAACTGTTAGCTGACTTTGTTATTGGTTGCGCAGATACGCAGGAGGAAGCTGCAGCTGCATATGACATGGCGGCTATAGAGTACAGAGGTGCAAACGCAGTGACCAACTTCGACATTAGTAACTACATTGACCGGTTAAAGAAAAAAGGTGTCTTCCCTTTCCCTGTGAAGAACCAAACCATTCATCAAGAAGCTGTTCTTGCTGAAGCCAAACAAGAAGTGGAAGCTAAAGAAGAGCCAACAGAAGAAGTGAAGCAATGTGTTGAAAAAGAAGAACCGCAAGAAGCAAAAGAAGAGAAGATTGAGAAACAAGAAGTGGTGGAGGAGGAGGCTGTGGTCACTTGCTGCATTGATTCTTCAACCATTATGGAGATGGAACGTTCTTCAGACAGCAATGAGCTAGGGTGGGACTTCTGTATGATGGATTCAGGGTTTGCTCCGTTTCTGACAGATTCGAATCTCTCTAATGAGAATCCCATTGAGTATCCTGAGCTTTTCAATGAGATGGGGTTTGAGGATAACATTGACTTCATGTTTGAGGAAGGGAAGAGCTTGGAGAATCTTGATTGTTGCGATGGTGTTGTGGTGGTGGGAAGAGAGAGCCCAACTTCATTGTCGTCTTCACCGTTGTCTTGCTTGTCTACTGACTCTGCTTCTTCATTAACAGCAACAACAACAACAACAATAACCTCTGTTTCTTGTAACTATTCTGTCTGAGGGGAGAGAGCTTTTGCATTTCTAGGTTGAATTTTCTATTTTCTTTTGCTTTTTTTTTTCTTCTTTTTTTTTCTTGTTGAGTTCTGCTAGGGTTTGTATTTCGTTTCAGGGCTTACTCGTTGGTTATGAACAATCAGTGTTTAGCTCTCTTTTCGTTTCCTCTTTACTTGGATAAGGCAAAACCTTAAGAACTAAATGAACCATAAAATGGAACACATAGGTAGAAGTGTTCACAGATTGTATAGCCAAACCATAAAATGGTATCAGTAAATATAGACTTGGGCTAACCCCAATGGAGATTACATTTCAAGTTGATGAATCTTAACATGTTGAAGGCTATTGCTTATCGGCAGCAAGCCAGCAACTAACTAATATGGGATATGAGTACTAATCAATGAGAAAAAATTGGACTCATATTTCAAGCTAAGAAGTGTGACGTGGCACTCAAGCTTCTAGTTTTGTATATACATCATATTAAACTAAATATATTGAATCCTCTGTTTCTTGAATTCACATAACCCTCTGAACCAGTTCAGCTAGTTGTGAAATCATTCGAACTAACTTAGTTGCCTTTTTGATAAATTAAGGGCAGAACCTTATGTAATACTCTTACAGTAATACAGGGATAAAAAAGGAGTAAAACGGTCAGACAGTGTGGTGATCTTTCGAATCACTAAATACGTTTGTGCTAGGATCAACCGGATCAGCCGATATGATATATATTAAAAAAGTGAAGTTAGGATAAGTAGGAGGTAGTCAATATATTATTACAGATAGTCTTGAAAACATTTCAATCCACAATAAGTCAAAGCAGCAAGCTACTGATCACACAATCAATGCTTAAGGTTTTAAGAAATACATAATTAAGCAACATGATAGCTTAAGGCTGTAGTAATCTTATATATTATTACACAGTCTTGAAACATTTTAATCCACAAATAAAATAAGTCAAAGCAGCAAGCTACTGATCACACAATCCATACTTTAAGAAATACATAATTAAGCAACATGATAGTTTAAGGCTGTAGTAGAACCAGCCTTATGCTTTTCAAGTAGTTATTGAGTAGATAGATAATGATAATCACCAGCAACCTTTTAAACCTTAATCATTCAAGAAGGTGGAAGGTAATGATGTCAGAGGCAGATGGTGCATGGAGGGCATGGCTGGGGTAATGGTGATGATGGTTCTGATGGTAACGAAGAGCATAAGCACGTGATCCTTCGATTTGATACCCAAGAACCGAATCGTAGTCGCCTCCATTGTCTACTAGACCATAGTGAGGATCTTCTGCTCTTAGCTCCTATTTCATCAAAGAAAATTATATTAAAAGACATATTCCACATTTAACGTTGTTAACTCCAAGTGACATGACATGTTGAAGTCATTCACTTAGAGAAAACGTAAGAGTGACTCCATCTCGACGTACACTTCTATTATGCCTAAAACAAAAAACAGAAAAAAAAAAAAGAGACATTACCAGCTCATGTATGAGATTCTTTTGTATGTCTTGTTGACTTTTGTTCTGCAATTGAGTAAACCACAAGAGAAAACTATGAAGAGACTGAGATGATTAAGACTCTTAACTGTCTAATCCATTTCACTTTCATTTAGCTTTTATGCCATCACTATAATATACTCTTGCTTTTCCTTTTATCCATTACCTTAATTAGAAAATCTCCTTCCATGAATTTCTCTAAAGAAAAATAGTAGTATTTTAACAAAAGTTGATTAGATCACTATATCTTAAAAACATTTGGAATCAATTAATCGTAGTTAAGTGGATTATGAAGTTCTCATGAGTCACTTATTCTTTTCATTTTATAAGAAACTCACCTCACGCTAGATAACAGTTTCCAAACACAAGAATTCTTGATTAAAAAGATCTACTAATATCTTTATCAAATATACGTTTAAGATTTAAAGACTATAATTATAGAGAAATGGAATATTAATTAAGTTATGTTTGAAAAAGTTGGATGCCGCAAAGAGTGACATGGTTAGATGAGAGTGCTATCAACAGTTTTAGCAAGTGCATAATATCATATCACACCAAAATATTGAGACAAATAGTATGATAAAATTAATGTAAAATGAGTGAGAATAGAAGAAGATCTGACCTTTTTCTTGGTGGTTTCGATCTGATTCCCAAGGGATTTAAACTGGGCGATTATCATACATACGGATTAGTAAAAAGAATGGCTCGCATATATTGTTCAACAGTAACCAAAATGTTGTATCTCTCTTTCAACAACTAAATAATACAGCAAAGGTCTTTTAACTATACATATAACTTATAAACTTAAAACATTTCAAAATCAGAAAACGACAAGATGGTAATTAAAACCCTAGATAAGGGCAAAATATGATGATACCTTGCGCTCACGAACGAGTTTGAAAGTGTTTTCCATTTCTTCCTCAAGACTACGCAGCTCCTGAATATCAAGTTCGTCTAAACACTCACCTAGCCTCTGCCTACAATTAATAAAACCAAGATTTATAATTTTGTAATTTTAATTTTTCAGTTTAAAGAGAGGAAATGAGAGAAGAGAAGGCAAAACAAATACTTAATCTGAGTCCGGAGCTTTCTATTTGTCTCCAACAGTTTCCTCTTGGTTTCTTGCATTCTCTACAACAACGAGCAACCAACTTCACCAAACCATAAAAACACATCAAGAACAAGAACCAAGATCTAAAATGAAGAAAACCTCATAGTGAGCACTCCAAACATCAACATCAGAAACTGTTTGGTACAGATCTATGATCTCCTTCGTTCTATATAACCCACCAAAAAAAAAAATCATTAATTAACTAGAAAAAGTAAATTAAAGTAATTAAAATTTAGTTTAAGATTGGTGTTTTAGAGAGATTATGTACGTGGTGTTAGGGCTGATGAACTCATGAAGCTTGTTAGAGCTAGAGAACATGATAATGGAAACCCTAGCATCACACAAAACCGTAAGCTCGTGAGCTTTCTTGAACAAACCATTTCTTCTCTTGGAATACGTCACTTGTCTGTTGGTTTGGTTCTCTATCCTCTTGATCTGGATCTTCCCTCTCGCCATTATTCTTCTTCTTCTTTCTTTTTAGTTTCTGTTTATTGAAGAGATTTGTTGGAGAGGACAAAGAGATATAATAGCAAGAAGAAAGAAAGAAGTGAAAGAGAGAGAGTTGAAGAAGTAAAGGACCCACTTGAGTTACTAAAAATAGAAAGTATTGCCGAATCCATGAAAGGTAAGTTCAGAAGTTGATGAAAACTAAGTGATAAACTTTCCTCTTTGGTAAGTGGAATCGACATATATGATGGTTAATCACAAGACACTGCTTAAATTAAAATCAATTGTTTATAGGTGGAAGAGGGGACCAAAGCTATAAACAGAGCTTAGTTTGCTTTCCGTTTACTTATCAACAAAGCACCGTTAAGTTTCTACCTTGTGTAATGTTTCACACGATGACATACTCAACGGCGTTTGTAAACGTCAAATCAGTGCAGGTGGATTTGGTTAGCTTTATGCCCTTACCCTAAAGTAAACTAAAGTTTAGGTTTGAACCAAGTTTATATCTTGTTGGTTAAAAGCCAAGATTGTACTTTTGTTTGCTGAATTATGAATTAATATTTTATTATTCCTTGATTTGATTTGATGGGAGTTGCATTTAACTAGGAATCATATATGTTTCCTGAATGATTACAATTTATTTTCCTTATTTGCGTTCAGGTTAGTATAAAAATGTTGGGGGGTCTTATAATGTACTAGAAGTCTGTCTATTAATCTAGACCTAATTGGTAAAGTTACGGATCTCCATATCTTGAATAACAACCACACTCCAATACTCCTTATCCGCGGAGAAGCACCATGGCTACGGATAATTAAAGATCAAGACACTACAAAAAAACAGGCGAATTCTGACAATCATTTTCTTTGAAATTTCGTCGGAATATCTTTGGAATTTCATCGGAAAAAGTCTATTCTAACGAAATTTCGAAGAAAAAGATTGTGGAAAAAAATATTTCTTCGAAATCTCGTCAAAAGTTATGAAAGAATATACCATATTTTTTTGTAGTGAGATTTTGAGTTTTTTATAGTCATGGTTGTCTCATATAAACATCTTTATATGATACTCGAGACTAGATGTGAGCATTCAGACATCTATTTGGATTGGATTTGGATATATTAGATTTTTAAATTTTTAGAGTTTAAAGATTTAAGTCTCATTAAAATATTTATAGATTTCGATTCAAATTTGGTTCGATTATCCATTTACATTATATAAACAAATTAAAATTTCTTAAAATCCAAAAACAAAATAATATATTACATATATCACATATAAATCTAAATAATATATTTTTAAATATCTATACTATTATTTGCGAAGTGATTTTTCGCAACGGAGCTCTCACATTAAAAGTTAGAGTGGTTAATATCGTTTATACCCTTAATGAAAATAATATATATATTACATATAAAATAAAAACGAATTTAAATTATTTTAATCTAAAAATTAATAATAATCATAAGAATTATCCAAAATCTAAATAATATCTTTTTAAATAAGATAATTCTGATATATATTGTGATGTTATCTGAAAATATATTTGATAAAAAAGTTAACAATTAAAACAACAGAAAATACACAACTAAATATTAATCAAGTCAACTTCTTAATTTTATATTACTGAAAAATATTATTTGATCTTAAAATTATTTTTAATAATGAAAATAAATTACAAAGAAATATATGTAAGAATTCTTAAATGAAAGTATAAATATTATTGGTTTCAAAAAATTAAACACAATCAATCCTTAATATTATTTGATCTTAAAATTATTTTAATAGTGAATATAAATTACAAAGAAATATATGTAAGAATTGTTAAATGAAAGTATAAATATTATTGGTTTCAAAAAATAAAACACAATCAATACTTTATCACTATAATCTTTCAATTAGTAAAAGATATATTAATAAAAACGGATTTAAATTATTTTGATTATTTAAATAATTAAAATTAATAATAATCATAAAAACTATCCAAAATCTAAATAATATGTATTTAAATATGATAATTCCTATATATATTGTGTTGTTATCTGAAGATATATTTTCCAAAAAAATAGATATACATAATTAAATATTAATCAATTTAACATCTTAATTTTATATAATTGAAAAGAAAAAAGTTATTTTTATTTTAAGATGATTTATTTTTAGTAGGAACAATAATGCACAAAGAAATACATGTAAGAATGTTTAAATGAAAATATAAATATTATTGATTTCAAAAAAATAAAACATAAATAATATTTTATCATTATATTTTTTTGATTAGTAAAAAATGTAATAAAATAATTATAAAATGTTTAGGCCCGCAAGTGCGGGCAAAACACCTAGTCTAAAATTAATATGAAAAATAGTTTGATTTGGATATTCAAATAAAGAGTCAACTGGTGTTTAAAATACTCTTAGTTATTTTGAAACCTTTTCAAGTACAATGTTAATTTTGAATATTTTAAACATTTTAGATATAAATTTTAAAACAATTAATATATTTAATTATACTAGGTGATTTTCCCGTGCTCATGCACGGGTATAAATATTCATAAAAATAAAATTTTATAATAATTGATTGATATTTAGTTTTAGTTTTGTATCAATTTATATGTATAATTTATAATAAGAAATATTATATTATTCTAATTATACATATGACTTTGGATATATTATTGTCCGTTTAGTTATTTTTTGGATCAATAGTTGGTTTGGTTATCAATTTGGTATATTGGATAATATTTATTTTTCGAATTCAGCTATAATATTTTTTTATTGTAAATATAATAAAACTTTGATTAACTTTCTTATTTTCATTTTGGTTGGTTATTGTCTTAGATATGTAAATATATTCTTAGATATGTAAATATATTATAGTTAAATTATATATAACTTAATATATATATTGTGCTTAAACTAAAATAAATAATAAGCTGAAGTGTTTGATTCAAAATTACATAAATGAATATAATGATAATATTTTGAAGTCTCATGCCTATATATAAATTGTACAAATAAATTCTAATTGGTTAATATTTTCTTTTTCTTTTTAATATGCTTTGAGTCAACCTCTAATTTATATGTATAAAATTAAATAGGTTATTATTACTATAAAATTATATGTTCTTATTATAGTTAGATGTTTAATTTTGGATATAAATTAGATTCGAGTCATTCATGTTGTGAGTATGTTGAGTTAAAATTGAAGTATAATTACTTTTATTTTAGTTATGTCCAATAAAATTAGTTATATTTATCGCTTAAATATACATGTATTATCATAATATTTATTTATTCTTTATTTTAGTTAAGTAAAATCAAATTAGTTTTATTTATCGTTCAACTATACAAGTATTTTCATAATATTTATCAAATTATATGTTGATTTCTAAAAATATTTGAAAATAAAGTGTAACTGATAAATTTTGGGTGTTCATAAACATATATATTTTATTATTTTGAAAATGTATTATATGTTATTTAAAAATATATATTAATGGGGTATATTACTATTTTGTGAACTTTCTTTTTTAATAAAGTCATATTATATACATATATTTTCGTTTTTAAATCTGTTTAAAATTTTTTGAAATATTTCCTTTTATTACATATGTTATTTGGAAAAAGTAAAAAAGAAACTAAATAAAAAAATTAATAATAAACTTAAAATCTAACAATTCATTAAGGGTATCTATGTAATCAACCATCACGAGAGTTAACGTGAGCGCGACACGTAAGAAACTGACTTCTCAAATAATATTATAGAAATAACTGTGATTAGAATATTTCGATGATCAAATAATTGTGATTAGGATATTTCAGTTACCAATATCCGTTCAGATTTGATTTGATTTTTCAGATACCAAAATATTAGACATTCAAATAATTTACCTGTTCAAATTCAGATTCAGGAAAACTTTTTTAGATCGAATTCGGTTTAGTTTTTAGGTCCAGATATTTTGCCCAACCCTACTAGAGACATGAGCAATACATGACTCAATCTCTGTTTGGTCTTTTTCATTCTACATTCAAAGGAACACAGAAAGCAGTTTCACAGCTGTAGTTAGCCACTTAACATATCTAATCTACCAAGAAGTAACAACCACTCAGATTCTTCAACATCTCTTACATTCTTACACACAAATTCTTCATAATAGTTCAGAGTGTATACAATTTTGAAACCATCACAAGATCAGACCACTCTGTTTCTTTGATCCTTGAGCGCAAACACAACATTTTCGCTGTCTCGTTCTTTTATTTCAGCCAAAATGCGACAGTGGTATAGTACAGTCTATATATATACTTACATAAGCTTGCATCAGTTTAGCTCGCAGTTTCCGCAGACTGTTCAGGCTTCTCTACTTGCTTCTTCAGAAACTCCAGCACAGAGAGACGCTGCGGTCATTGTTACAAAATTAAATTCTCAGATCAATTTGCACGTGACATTCAGTAACTTTTGAGAAACCGAAGGGAAAGGTAAGTAGTGCAAAAATCTTACTCGTTGCTCGAGAGCAGCAGAATCTTCAGAGTCCAGTTTCAAAGATTCCAGCAGTTTCATGCCTTCCTTGAAACCATCTGTGGCTGCAGCCTCATTTTGTAGAGCCCTGTCTATATCTGCAACTTTGGCTAAGGATACCGCCACATCCAGAATCTACCAAAAAAAATTGAAGAAGTAACAACCAAATTTAGTAAAGGTTTCTTGATTCACCAACGAGACTTTTATCAATAAAACACTTCATGTATCCACTAAATAATACTTTGATTAACTAGAGTCTCTCAACTCTCACCCTTGAAGGAAAAGCTATACAGAACTCTCAACCGATTTATGCCTAGCCAACTTAATCAGCTTAGCTTCTCGACTCAATATCTGTTGCTGAGATGTCAATGTAGCTACAGTCAACTAGGGACCCCTAAGGTAGTTACTATCTCCCTCTATTGTTTTTTTGAACACCACTATCTTCCTCTACTAGACTAACGAGAAAGTCTTATCACAGGTAAAATGTTCAGAGTGGCAAATGTGTTTTTATTGACTTAGGCTAGAAGCCTAAATGATGCACATTATTCATACATCAGAACATCCAAGAATTTGAGAGATCTTAGCGCAAATGTGACTCTATGAGAGCATATTGATGTACAATGTACTATTTTACGTATCAGACCTAACACATAAAGCATATTGCAATTTCAGGACAGACCTAGCAAGGAAACCAAAGAGTAGATTTCCAACAACATAACAAATGCCTCTAGATATTGAGCTTATGATATTCCGTTAAAATGCAAGCACATCTATAATTTATGATATACAAATGCAGAGCTTATGATCTACAACTTAGCTAACCACCAAATTTCTTTCTGCCAGACATTGAAATGAGCAGAGGAACTAAGAAGAGGCCACTTCAGTTCTTCTTTTCCTTGCCATTTTCTAAGAAATTAAGAGGTAATACCAGATACTATAGGGTCACTAGACCGGAAAATTGCAAACTACTTAGCGACAATGGTTGGTTACCATTAAATATAACATTCTAGGATTAACAAAACACCAGGCTAAAGAAAGAAAAGCAAAATTAAAATAGTATGAAGGTATATGCTTACTTGTGAAGGAGCATTTGGATGATGCTTCACTGCATCACGTCTAACATTTAAAGCACGGTAGTAATACGACCTTGCAGCTTGTAGGTCTTCGCCATAATACTTGAGATCTCCTATTTTATTGAGCGAGACAGAAAGTGTATGTGTAATCTGCAAGTTTAGCAATAACTGTTACAAAACGGTAACAATTTCAAAATAAAAAATACAATAAAAACAGTGTACTAAAACCTCCAAATCATCCATCGGCAGTTTCATAAGGAACTCAATACTCTCTTCGAAATGATTGACCGCAGAGCTTGAGTCTCCCATTGCTCGGCTGCAGTAACAAGACAAGACAAACTATCTTACATAGGTACTCAAAAAGAAAGATATCAACACACCAAACAAAAGATCAACAGTCTCTTCAGCCTATGAACAACAAAGTGTCTATTATCAATCAACGATGGGTTCATAACAGAGCATATTGGTGACTGCATTCAAAAGAACCCGTCCTTGCTGAATCATATTCGTTCACTGAAAGTCGAGACTAGATTGATGATTGATAAACAAAAGGAGACAATGAACATACCTGCAGTCGCCGAGCATACCAAGGACCGCACCAAGCTGTGAACACAACTCTGGTGTATTGCCCTCCCTCCTTAATTGATCTCGAATGTCCTCAGCACACATCACCAATCTTGATTTAGCACTTTCATAGTTCTGAGCTTGAAATGCCTGCGCATACAAAGACGAATAAGAACTCAACAGCAATACACTCATATTAACAAACTATAGAGATAGAAAAACTCACCCTCATAGCTTGTTGCACCAAGAAAGAACCTCTCTCCATGGAAACATCAGCATAAATCACCTTTTTGTCATCACTCTCAACCTCTCCTTCATCTCCGCTATTCACAACAGACCTCTTGATTCTAGCATGCCCTTCAATAAACTGATCAACCATCTTCTGAAGGCTTTCATCAGCTTCAATACTCTCCACGTCAGCACCACATAAAGGACAGTCCTTAAACCGTGACACACACACCCTACATTCAAAAAAAAAACACTATCAAGAAACCAAAAAACGAAAAAAGAAAGAAAACAAAATATTAACACTTACTTGCAAAAGACATGTGTACAAGGCACACATCTACTACTCTCATACAAAAGCGCTTGACATAACATACAACTAAAAGGCCCAAGCTTAAACGTTTGGGAGTCATAACCAAACGGACACTTGGCAGGAACCGTTGCAGAATCAGTAGTGTTAGAGTCATCTTTATTCAACTTTCCTTCCTTTTCAAGACATCCTTTACTTTCGCCTTGCTTCCGAGCAGAGGAGGCATCAGATTTGGAGAAAGGGCAAGCGGAAGGAGTCGTGTCGCCTTGTTTTCGAGCAGTTTTGGAGAAAGGGCAAACAGAAGTCGTCATTGTGAACAAACCCTACACATCAAAAAGTAAACTTTCAAATCCAAAATCTATAAAAATCGATACTTTTACCAAATAAAAAAAATTAAAAATCGATTCTTTTTGACAATGAAAATTCAGAAAGAGATTCAGAGAGAAGCTTATTAGATAGAGAGAGGGATGTATATAGAGACCTGGGTTGGATTGAGATGTCCTTGTAGCTGCAATCAATGATCGATTTTTATTATAAGCTTTTGTTTCTTTGAGTTTTATCTGTTTTTCTCAGTCAGAAAGATTGAAGGAAGGATGTGTGGATTGTATTTGGGCCTTTTACTTTTCTTCTACGAAAAAACAGGTGTTTCGTTAAAAGACAATTCTACCCTTTTAGATTATGACTGATTAGATTATGACGGTTTTAGCATTAAAAGTTTCTGATTTATTAATACAGGGGTCAAATCAATGGGATATTAATTTGTTACATCGTACGTTTACATCACAAGATGTTCAAAGGATATTAGTGCTGAAACCGGCACTGGATTCACATGATACTTTTAAATGGGGTTTTACACCAAATGGGGCATATTCGACCCGGAGTACGTATAAATTTTCAGAGACTTTGGTGGACTATGAACACCCTCCGCAGAATTCTCTATCTCCAATTGAAAAGCAAGTATGGCGAGATTTGTGGAAAACTAAAGCCCCACCAAAAATAAAACATTTTATGTGGCGTGCTCTATCTGGTGCGTTAGCTGTCAAGCAACGTCTGAACACTCGGGGTATTCCGGTTGACCCAACATGCTCTGTTTGTGGTAATGATACTGAGAGTATATGTCATGTTCTTTTTTCATGTATGAAAGCTCGGGCCACATGGGAGCAGGCTAATTTCCCAATTCCTTTAGGAGGGTTCTCCCGAAATTCTACCTTTCTAAATTTTGTGCATCTGATTAAAACTGGTAAAAGCTCATCTACAGATGTACATATAAGAAAAGTTTTTCCATGGCTGTTGTGGGAAATTTGGAAAGCTAGGAACGTTTTTCTTTTTGAAAACAAGGTTCTCGAACCCTCCTTTATCGCTAAAAAGGCCTATCAAGAAGAATCTACTTGGTGTGATACCTTCACAAGCAGGGTAGATAGAGCTGGGGACGTTGATTCAGAAGAGATACGATGGATACATCCTCCCAATGGTTCCCTCAAATGTAATGTGGGTTCCTCATGGGTACACTCAAATCAATTAAGTGGTGCTTCATGGATTGTTCGGGATGCAGCTGGACATACAATCATCCATAGTCGTCGTGCCTACTCTTGTATGCGCACAAAAACAGAAGCAGATTTATGGGTTCTTTTTTGGGCGGTGGAATGTCTACATAACTTACATTTCTCAAATGTTATCTTTGAGACATCGTCGGCATGCCTACGTGATTTCCTCACAAAGCCGGAAGATCACCCGAACTTCAGCCATCTCCGACACGATATATCCTTTCTTCTTGCAAGGATAGAGTTTTGGAGCCTCGATCACGCACTTCCGGAAAGAAATGAAGCTGCATCGGCAATTGCTGTTAGTGTCACCCGAGATAGTCGATCCCAATCCTACATCGCCCGAGATGCACCGGCTTGGCTTCAACATTTACTCACTTTGGAAGCTCGACAATAATGGGAGTTGGTGAGGTTTTCTTCCCTTCTCCATGTTTGTGCGGTGTCTATTGACATCTTATTTAATTCCTTGTTTCTTGCTTTGTATCACAACAATTATTTCTACATGTTCAAGTGTTATAAAAAAAAAAATCATTATCCGGTCGGGTGCCTAAATTTGGTTTAAATCGGTTTACTGGAGCAATCAATTAAATTTCTGTAATGGTACAAGAGTGATTATAATGCTGAATTGGATACGGTTTCAGCGGTTTGGAGATGGGTTGTGGTCTTACAAAAGTTGTTTTATTGGTAACAGAGAACTATCAATAAACAGGATATTTACATGAATATTTTGGTCTAGTGAAGGCTAAATATGAAAATTTTAGAGAAGATAAATTCTTACCTAACCATCGACTAAAACTTTATCTGTTGTTTAAAACAGTTACGGAAGCATTACACCACCTACATTCTCTTTTCTTCACTGAAACAGAATAGAAGATCCGATCTAAAATTTAAGAGCCATATACATTTTTAAATTAATTTTGATTAAAAAATATTCGACAATTTGAAAACCATGTAATCTATGCACATAACAAACCTAACAGCCAACTCCTGATATCATCAAAGTTGGCTTATGAAATTTCAAGATTACAAAAAGTCTAAATGTATAAGAATATCAGGAAAATACAGAGGAATCTTAGTCCAAGGCCTGCATATATATTTTACTTTCATCATTAGGTTCAGAGATAGTTGCAAGAGAGGATATGGTTGAAGCTTGTAGCAAACATTGTTTATGTAGCAAACTATTTGTTTTCTTTACCATACCAGCAGCATTTTCTAATCCAAATTCAATTTAGATCATCTTTACCACATTTGTTCTCATTTCATAGTACATTACCGTTTAGGTGCCCTTCCACAACTAACATTAACAAGAGTAAGACTAGACCCACATGCAATTAGACTATCACATGCTAAATCAATCTGAGTTGGTAGTGATATCTCTACAAGCTAGATTGATCATATTTATTATTATTTAAAAATACATTTGAAGGAGTAACCATTCATCCTCAGTGAACAATAATAAAATTTTCTCAGTTTCTTCCAATCCTTAGTGAAGAATCAACACCATCTTTATGTCCAGAAGCTGCAAAGAGTCTAGCAATCTCTATCTGAGTGTTGGCCATTATCTCTGTTCGTTTCAAATCCATCTCTCCTCTCTTCACCTCTGCTTCAGCTCTCATCCTCTCTATCTCTTTCATCGTCTCCATTCTCGCTCTCTCTGTTCTCATCACCACCTCAGCTAACCACCGTATGCTTCCTGCTATCTCCTCCTTCTCTTCCTTGTATCTTCTCCTTACTTTCTTTGGCCTCACCTTCGCTTTCTCTCTGCAGAGAACCGGTGTGCTGCTATCTGTGTCCATCTCAGTGGCTTTCTCAGGTTTGAATCCCTCTTCCTGCACAAAACTTTCATGAGAAAATTGTCCAACACTAGAATATTGGCATGGGATTTTGTCTGAACCCAACTCAAATTTCTGGTTAGTTCGGTTATTTAACACTCGTTTTTCGGTTCGACAATCAGTTACTTCGGTTTTTTCTTCCCTAAAAGATTATAACCAAATCATATTAAAAGTAGAAACCCACACCAAACTAATCAAATTTTAAACTGAACCAAAATTAGCCGAATGTATACAAAATGCTAACAAAACTAAGACAAAATCTAACTAGACTCAAAAAAAATTAGTTTAGGATCAGTAAGATTTTCAAAAACCGAACTAACTGAATACTAAACCTCACTTTCTTTTAGATTAATTTGGTAAAATTTAGTCTAATATGGTTATAACCAAATCATATTAAAAGTAGAAACCCACACCAAACTAATCAAATTTTAAACCGAACCGAAATTAGCCGAATGTATGTAAAATGCTAACAAAACTAAAACAAAATCTAACTAGACTCAAAAAATTAGTTTAGGATCAGTAAGATTTTCAAAAACCAAACTAACTGAATACTAAACCGCACTTTCTTTTTGATTAATTTGGTAAAATTTAGTCTAATATGGTTATAACCAAATCATATTAGAAGTAGAAACCCACACCAAACTAACCAAATTTTAAACTGAACCGAAATTAGCCGAATGTATCCAAAATGCTAACAAAACTAAAACAAAATCTAACTAGACTCAAAAAAATTAGTTTAGGATCAGTAAGATTTTAAAAAACAGAACTAACTGAATACTAAACCGCACTTTCTTTTAGATTAATTTGGTAAAATTTAGTCTAATATGGTTATAACCAAATCATATTAGAAGTAGAAACCCACACCAAACTAACCAAATTTTAAACCGAACCAAAATTAACCGAATGTATCCAAAATGCTAACAAAACTAAAACAAGATCTAACTAGACTCAAAAAATCAGTGTAGGATTAGTAAGATTTTCAAAAACCGAACTAACAGAATACTAAACCGCACTTTCTTTTAGATTAATTTGGTAAAATTTAGTCTAACCGAACTAACCGGGAAACAGAACAAGATTGGTTAGTGACCTTGGGAGTCCTGCCGACACCGTTGGACCCGTGAGAAGCCTGAGCAGCAGGAGGTTGCTGCCACGGATGAGCCACGGCCGGTGACGGAGGCTCGAGTAAGAGCAAAGGACCAGAACAGTTAAGAGGCAGAACAGCCTGAGGCTGGACAGAGGTGGAAGCATTTCCACGGAGGAGATGATCAAGACGAGAGTAAAGAGGCCAAGAAGAACCATCTGCAGTGGCTGACTCAGAACGGTACCGTTTCTTCATGGACTCGATCTTGTTCTTGCACTGCGTCTGAGTCTTGGGAGACTTGGTGTGACTAGCGCGTGAAGAAACGTGTCTAGCCACGTCTTCCCAGTCTTGACCCTTGAGCTTGGCTCTGTTCCTGAGCACCCATTTCGTCTCGTAGGCTTCGAGGAGACTCGAGACAGCTCCTTCGCTCCATTCATCGCGTTTTAGCCTGTCAACGACGATGGAGGAAGTGGATGGCTTCTTGGGAGAGGACACGTCGTTGTTTGTGGGAAGAGAGTGGAGATTGTCTTGGTTAGAATCACCATCCTCCATGTATGGGCAGAGAGAGTGAAAGAGAGAGACAACACACTCGAGAGAGTATATGATCAAAGGAGAAAGAGAGTGGAGACTTTTTGGCAATTTTTTAATGAACAATGGAGACTTTTTTTTGAAGTGAATGGAGTTTAACAAAGTGAGTCATGATGAGACTGTAGTCATTCGCTGATGTCTGTCTGAATCTGACCAATGAGTTTAGGTACACGCGTTTCACCCATCTTCAGTGGTCGTGACTCGTGACTTACAGCTAAAGAAACTTACAGGTTTATTTTATTCCAATTTTTATTTTATACTTTGTTTAAGATCACACATTTTGCTTTTTGCATGATTGATTTCATATGTTTAGCATAATTCATAATTTTAGGATGTATAATGTTTGTCTCGACTCCTTAGCTGAAAAAGTTATTGTAATAACTGTATTATTTTTTTCATGCATGTAATCAGACATGGTTGTATACAATTTTATAGAGAATAAGTCATCTTGAACTATAAAATGGATAGTTAATACAAAAATTTACATATGCAGACACTCTAATAATTTATTGTTTAATAAAATACACTGTATGTGAGAATGTTGGCAAATTTAGAAAGTTTGATATTTAAAGTTTTAATTATGGGTTTATTTTTAGCTGTAAATCTTTTTTTTGTTCATAGAAATATTGATTAAGGTAAACTTTGCTTCACATAAATTTAGTGGAACAACCCACGACAATAATGTGGGAAAGAATAAAGAGACTGTGAAAAAGTGGGCAAAACATTGAAAATAGGTTTTGCTTTCTGTTTATTTTGTCAACTTCAAATAGGGCTTTTTCTATTACCAACAAAAGAAAAATGTTAATACTTTTGAATATCTTTTTTTGTCAAAGAGATGATGATAATGATTTTATATCGAAATCTTCTCATATTTTATGCTTTTATTCATCCAAAATGTTTCCTTTATATTTGCTTTTTCTTTTGGGTGTATGGTGGAGTCAGTCTGGCTGTTAGCGTTGATGTCAAGCCAAACCGCAAAACCCATTTTATCAAAAGAGAGAGAGAGAGAGATGGTATGGGACACAAATGATAGTGGGGTTTACTCGTGTCGCTCTCTCATCCTTTCTATCTTCCACTCTTTTTTCTTCTCTAGAAGATCCTATATTCGTTGTTCTATAACTTGAAAGTGTATAACATTATCTTGCAAATGTTTATGAGATTTTTGGGTTATTGATGTAACAACCAATACTAGCTTTCTCATTATAGCACATGTCTAAGTTACTTGTATCTAATTCCCATGTGTTGCTGTTGCTGGAAGGTATGCATGTGAATATTGCTTAAGGTACTTTAGTTGAGACCTTCAAAAATGTGTTTCAATTTAATTTTGAGTGAAGGTGTTTGCTTATATAAAAGCAATCATAACCAGTGGACCAACCTAATAAACTATGGTTGAGTTTTACACTACATGAAAATTCAAGTGAAATTTTTTTTTGTCTTGTGTTTTCATGTCAATCTCTGACTTCTTTATTAGTCACTTGCATCATTGAGGACCACACTTTACTTTCACTTGTGTCAGAAGTGAATGCAACAGTTGTAGTTGTAAGGTGTAACAGAGAATAGTAAAAGAAACTTTATATAATACGAATGACCAAATGTCTTAAATTATAATGTTTCCAAATTCAAATATTCCAAAATGCGATAGCGAGATAACACCAAATCAACCCAAAAACAAAATACACTCGCACACACATATATGATTAGGTGCATGTTTCACGTGAAATACCGAGCCTGGAATTGGGAAGATCGATGAGGACACGGTGGTTCTGCTGCTGCATGCTAGCGATGACGTTAAGGACGGAGTTTACGTTGTTCGGAGCTGCGGCCATGGCGAGACAGCTTGTGCTTCCTGAGGAGCTGTGGATGAGAAGATTGTCCTGAGGCAAAGTCACGTTCATTCCCGCGAACATAAACGTGACCGATGGGAACACGACGGAGCCGGAGTAGCATGTGTCGAAACCTCCGAGTGATGTTGGAATTGCGTTCTTGACACGTCTCCTGAACTCATTTCTCACGGCAACGTAAGCTGGTTCCACTAGCCTCGTGTAGACCGTCCCTGCACACGTACATTGAAAGTGTTTTTTTACCATTAGGTGAATGTTTATAACATTTTTTTTTGTAGACAGGTGAGTTTTTATAACATATATAATTTTACTTAGGGAGATTCGAGCCCATCACAAGTTGGAAGATTAGCCTCTAAGAGTTTTATTTTCTCCATTTTAGAAAGATACATGTTATTGAAAAAAAAATGTTTCAGACAATATATTTTTAACTTTTCTATGTAATTTTTATTAGTTAATAATAATAAAACTTTGAAAATTAGTTATATTTATCATTTTTATTAATTTAAATTATAATAAATAAATAATCATAGAAAACAATGTATTATAATCAAAATTTCATATGTATTGAAACTCCATTATTGTTTTCTAAACATCACAAGTGTTCAACATGATTTTTTGTTAATAGAAAACCTCAGTTCAAAAAAAACATGATTTTTTGTTTTTTTTTAAAACATGATTTTGTTCTTTATTTCAGATCACAAGCAAATAAAATAATAAAAAGAGGATTGAGAAACCATACCGGAGTCAAAGATGGTGCCAGCTCCTGTGGCCGGATTAAAGGCGAGTGCACTTGGAGGAATATCCACAATTTTATTACCAACACGAATCCCAACCATGTTAACGTAGTAAAGCGATGATCTCCTCGGGTTCTTTAACAATGGAGTGGTCTTGATCCGAACGGGTTGAAACTTAGGGCCCAATCTCAACGTTCCGGAGAAACTGCTGGACTTACTATTAGGCAAGCAATACGAGAATGTGGACTTGTAAAGGTTTTGCGTCTGTGAGATTAAAGACAATGGACCACGACCTAAACCCATGAGTCCTTGCGCAGGCAACGATGTCCCGGTCGCTTTGTTGATGCACCCAAAAGTGTAGTTTGGGATGGCGTCATTGGTTAATGTTAGTGTGTCTTGTGTCAGAGATGCTGTGATGGTTGATCCACCGTAAGTCATATTGAAACCACATGATTTGGTCACGGTGCACGTTGGATTTGGAGCCTGCAAAAAACAGTTTAGTCGAATTAATATTAGAGTAAATATTCGTACTTTACAACGTATTTCAATAAAGATATGTTATGAATGCAATTATTAAATGGGTTACGTTCTTTAATTTGTACGTGAATAATTTTTTTAGTAAACGCTAACCAGCGTGACGACAAAGAATATAAGATCATACAGTAAAATGTGCCCTACTAGTTGGTATAGTTTATAAAGTTAACGAATCTTAATACTGTATATAAAATACCCGTGACTAGCTAGTACTCATTTTTGTGATAAATGTGGTACATAGGACCCGTGACTAGCTAGACTTCTCGATGATGGTGTAATAACACCACCAAAATGAAGTTCACATCTTTGTGTGCATAATCAAATACTAGACTCCAAAAACGAGTGGTCCTTTACTTCGGTTTTGGTTTTCTTGTTTTGTGAAACTAAATCCGAATAGTAATCCTATTCTTTACTATTAAAATTTCATTTTCTTCAAAGAAAGTGAGTCTCAAAGTTCGAATCTCGATGACTTGGGGAAATGATCAAAGTTACAAACGTTTTCGAGTCATAAACATGGCCAATGAAAATATTTTGGAGGTTATAAATAATTAACAAGAAATTTAATCAAACTTTATTTTTTAACAATTTAAATACGTTATGGTTTACATATAGTAATTCTTTTTTTTTTAAATGGTAAGTTATGTTTCACTTGTCCTATAGTCACAACCCTTAACAAGGTTATGATAAAGAAATGTACTGCTAATCTAGTCAAGTCAAATTACGAAATGATCATAGCAGTATATTTTCAAGTCACAACCATTAAATTTTATTTTTAGTATACTAAATGCAGTTGCACAAAAAAAAAGTATACTAAATGCACTCTGTATATCTATTCAATAGTATAAAGTTTTAGTTTGTTCCTATGGGTTTGTTCGGTATATTATTATCGTGACCGTTCTAATTTGAAGAATTTACGTCCATCCGCAAAAGGCTATACATCTAATCTAATTCCAAGAGTAAATAATACAAATAACTCATTACCTGTTGACACTGAGGAGCTTGGCACTGAAGAGTACGAGAAGAGCTTGACTTGGAAGGGTCAAAGAGAACAGAGGAAGCACAGCCAACACAACCGGAACAAGGAACCCAAGTAACGTCATTGCTAGTGTCAAGAGCCACGAGCATGGTCTGAGCCGGTGTCCCAATGTTAGCCCTCACGATGTAAGTCGGGCTCTGAACGATGGAGCGTCCCGAGGCGATTGGGACCCAAGGTTTCTTACCAGCGGCTAGGCTTGTCAAGTATTGGAGACGAGCATTGTCTTTAAGAAGTGTACTTTCCCATGAGACAGTGTTTGGTTGTTTGTATGGAGAGCAAGGACTGTCAATGTGGAACACTCTTAGATCTGAGGGATGGCCTCGTGGGCTATTTCCATTGCAGTTTAGTGATTCAGAGTTCAAGACTAAGAGAGAGATAAATAAAAAGAGGAGTTGGATTCTCATTTTCTTAGATCTTGATTTGATCTTGGTGGGTTTTAGTGTTTGTGATGAGTATGTGTTTATATAGTGAGTAATGACGAGTGTGTAGAAAGTAATAAGACATAAAAAATTGAAGAGTGGGTTTACTTGAGAGAACAGACTGTATCCCATCTCATTACTCAAGTTGTAATTTGTATCTTTTTTTTTGTAATTTGTAGTTTAGTTTGTGTATCATTCATTTGTTTTGCGTATTAATAGTATTGATACAGTTGAACTTGATTTCCTAGATAGTGCCTAACATTTCGCAGTGCATCTGAAAAGTTAATAATTCAATTGCTTATACATATTTATTTATATGTTTCCCTAAACATATAGTAAAACTCTAAAATCAAGCATATTCATGTTGTAGCAATTTTTAATGATGTGTTAACATACTAGAATGTGAGTTTAGGCTTTGACTGAAGAATAACTTTTAGAGAAAATATTTGAGCAGAAAAATTAGGTACTCTTAAAAATTATTAATTTAAATAAATTTTTTTTTTCTTTCTTACCTCTAATTACTAATGAAATAGAGAAATGCGCACACATACTTTACTCTGGTTTTTACAAGAGTAAATTTATTTACTACATTTTTCTTTCTCTTCCACTTTTACATTTTCACTCTCACTTTTTTTTTTCACTCTCATTTACTCTAATGTTAACAATCACAACCTTAGTATCGTACATATCATAATATCTTGTGAGAATAATATGCAAAGAAAATCGACAAATATTTTAAAATTTTTGCGTAAAAGAACGGTACGTAACAGACTAAAACATTTCACAATAATAGAGTTAAGTGTTAACCATTTAGAACGTCCAAAAAGCTATTTAAATGACTTTGTAAACTTTGCCAGATTTTTTAATAGCTATTCATTTATTTAGTTGGATATGATTCTTAGGAGTTATCCAGATTCATAGGAGTGTGCGGAGAGCACTCTTGCTTAGAAGAGATCTAGGAATGAGTTTGATGATATTGTGTATGCATGAAGAAAGATCAAAGGAATCACGTGAGGAATGGCTAGCGATAGATCGAAATAAATGCATTATGTTTTGTTGTTTAATATGGAATGTATCAAACTACGCAATACTCATTAGTCATCACTCATTACCATGTGGTGGGTTACATCTCACACTGGCCTCTTTTTCCACTCCATAGTGCTGTCCATCAATTATTCTTTCTGATTTCAAAAACATGCTGTTTAAAGTATTTTCCAATGTTGTTTGTTTCTTAGATTTGAATGTGATATGTAATTATGTAAAATCTTCTCGTGACTAAAGAAAGTTTGATATCTTTTGGTTGATTTATAGTATGCTAAGATTTGCAGATTGAGTTGTGGCTTCATCCTAATTGTAACTACCTGCTTAAACATAGGGTTAGCAAAATCCAAAAGTACTTATAGTGTTATCACTAAAAGTTAGCACCTACCTAAACAAATGATTAGTAAACTAAGATATAAAAATATATTATTAATAATTAAATATAACTCTTCAAAAAAATTATTTGAAAAGTGAATTTGTTGATTTGTCTCCATGATCATAGGTAATTTTGATCATTTATCAAAATTTCTTTAATTTTGTTTATTATTGATTATATAATTAAAACTACTTTATCTTAATTATTTTATATTTTAAAAAATAAGTTAATTCTTATGTATTATGCTGTTATCTTGAAAATATATTTTTCTATTATAAATTTAAAATTAACATGTAAAAATCTATATTATTATTTAAAAAGTGAATTTGATGTTTGCTGATTTGTCATATTTTCCATAATTTTAGGTAATTTTGATAATTTATCATAATTTCTATAATTTTATATATAATTTATTATATATTTTTTTAAAAAATATATTAATATTAGATTCTTAGAAAAAAAGATACTTCTCATGTATTAATTTGCTGTTTTGAAAATGCATCTTTCTATTAGAAATTTAAAATTAAGATATAAAAAGTTATAGTTATTCTATTTTTGACATAAATTTACACTAATAATATTATAACTTTTAGAAAATAAGGCAATTCTTATGTATTATGTCGTTATCTTGAAAATATATGTTTATATTATATAATTTAAAAGTAAAATAGAAAAAAATATCTATTATTAATGAAATATAAATCATCACACAAGAAAAATTATTTAAGAAGTAATTTGCTGATTATTAAGTTCTCCATGCTTTTAGGCAATTTCAATTATATGTCATAATTTCTATATTTTTTTATAATTAAAAATAAATAACTTATCCATTATATTGTTATCTTGAAAATATGTTTTCTATTATAAATTAAAAATTAAGGTATAAAAAATTATAATAAAATATAAATTAAGTACAAATATTTGTATAAATATTATAATTAAATATAAATCAATCAAAATAATTATAGAAATATATTCTTTTAAATATTTTTGATATTTTAGTTTTGTCATTGATAATTATTTGATGTTTGATTTGTATTTTTTGAAAACATAAATAATAATTTATTATGATGGTTTTTAAATTAATAAAATATCAACTAATAAATATTTATAAGATAATTATGTCCGCATGTGCGGGTAAAACACATAGTTAGTATATAAACTATACGATAACTACGACTATATTGAACGTGATAACTACCATTCATGGTCACGTGAATTATATACTCCCGTCTGAGAAAATTATAACGATTCGGTTCGTGAGTTCCCTAGCATCTTGAAGAATCAAAACACAATTTGCAAGCCCGGTCCAAGACTTGCTTCTAATATGGGAGGTGCTGAGGGTTGGTCCCCGTAGTTCCTATGGGATGGACAGAGCCGGTCCTGGAGAATTTGGCACAATCTATTTTTTTTTCTAATTACAAACTTATTCATATTTATCAAAAAAAATTTACAATTTTTTTAATTATAATGATGGTTTAGTTAAAAATAATAATTTACAAAGAAATTATGTTGATAAAGAGATGAAAACCTAAGGAACAAGATTTAGTTTTAAAAAAGTTATTCATGAAACTGAGTTTATAAAAAAAAAAATTTATATAACTTAATCATTTCCTTATGTTAGGATAATTTAATTTACAAAAAGAAAATTAAGTGTTAGTTTACAAAAAAAACTGAATAACATAAATAATCTAATCTATTAAAATAGAGTCATTCTTTTTATCTACTGATACAAGTTGTCATTTAAATTTGGACATTTTCTAGAGTGTTACAAATAATATAAGTCTTATAATTGATTAAACCGGATTACTTAAATTAAACCAACACAATTAATGTAATATGGCGACCTTAATATAAAGTATCTTCAAAATACGGCATATATCTATGTGTCTACCAAAAACACATATTTTCTCCTACAAATATGAAATGTTCTAAAAGAATATATATTATCAAAATATAGAATATGGAAATCTACTAATTATATTAATGTGGAAATCTTAATATATACCAGTTAGCATCTTAACAATTCTTTTAAAAAAATGGAAATTTAATAATTATATGAAACCAATGGAAATCTACTCTATTGAAATAGAGTCTTTCTTTTTATCTATTAATACAAATTGTCATTAAAATTTGGACTCTTTCTAGAGTGTTACAACAAGCCACATAGTTAACTGAACCGCATTACTTAAATTAAACCGATGGTTATTTATGGGATATACTCTTGGGTTTACTTTTGTTGTTAGAACAAATTATATGGTTTGATTTTTAGGCTTACTATTAAGGAAAATTCCAAAAAACATTGAATAAAATTTCTATCTTAATGGATCAAAAAATCAATTATTTTTTCAGGCCCAAATGTATTTAATATTTTTTAACAAAACAAATTGTCTATTATTAATCATTTATTTAAATCTTGTACTTTAAAACATGTTATTGTATTTTTTATTTTAAATAACAATCACTTTTTTGATAAATTTCAATGGTAACTTTTAAATAATTTATTGCTTTATTTTTTTTAAATAATTTACTGATTTAAAAAAACTAAATGTAAAGCAAAACCAAAAACCAATTCTAAAAACTAAAACCCAAAACCAAAAGCTGAAAACGCATTGTTCTAGATAACACATTGTTATAGTTTTTGCTTTTGTTTATTTACAAAATAAACTATTGCAATTTTTTTTTAAATTTTTTTTGTCATCTTTTCAGTTTTAAATTAGATGCTCGATTATTTGAAATTTGTTTGTTGGTAATATCAGTTCAAACTAACTCAGCGGATCTAAAAATTAAAAACCCAAACAAAAGTTGAAAATCAAAAATAGAAACTTAAAAACTAAAAATTAAAATCTAAAAATAAAAACTGAAACTAAAAACTATTGAAAAAAATCGTCACCACAAAGTTTGATAAACTGATTTTATACCAAAACACTCTTTAAATTAAGAAATAATCCAATTATATAAATTTTAGTTATAAAAAATTTCTGTGCTTTCAAGGGCGGATCAAAATCTAGTTTGTTTTAAGTGAGATCCCTTAAAGGTGGGGGTCAATTCAAATGTTTCACCTCCCACCCCACAAATTCGGCTCTGGGGATGGAGACAACACCAGCAATAAGCCATGGAAGCATGTGGAGATGATGGAGTCGGGTTCATGAATTTTTCTTTCTTTTGCCGCATGCTCAGAAAACTTGTAGGGAATTGATCATCCACTAGCCTCGCTATATTTGCTCTATTTATTTAGAATGGGCCTAGACTTTTTGTGAGTATATCTCAAATCGCTGACTAGTTGTTCTAGAATGTGAATAGAAACACTAGCAAGAATCGTTGAATATAAAAAGTCAACTATGACCAACTTAAAGGTCAGGCAAACATCTCCCTCGCACAAGAGACGACTTCACCAAAACTATTCGCCCTCTTATAATGAATTGACAATGCAATAGCAGTGGCCCGAGCGTGTTCACACATTTACATTAAGACTTTTCTTACATCGTTTCACTATATTTAGCCATAAACACCACTACTTCTTCCTCAATTACTCCAAACAAAAATCAAAATGTTGACTCACGCTATTTCTAAACCCATCATTATACTAACCATTCTATTAGTTCTACAAGCTTTCTCTTCTACAACAAAGGCTCAAAACTGTGGTTGTTCGTCAGACCTATGCTGTAGCCAGTTCGGTTTCTGCGGTAACACTTCAGACTATTGTGGTGTAGGCTGTCAACAAGGACCTTGTTTTGCCCCTCCACCTGCGAACGGTGTCTCGGTTGATGAGATTGTCACACAAGAATTCTTCAATGGAATCATCGACCAAGCTGAGTCTAGTTGCGCTGGCAAAGGATTTTACAGCCGAGGAGCTTTTCTTGAGGCCTTAGAGTTATATTCTCGTTTCGGTAGGATTGGTTCGGTCGATGATTCTAGACGTGAGATCGCAGCCTTCTTTGCCCATGTCACACATGAAACTGGACGTAAGTAACTTATGATACATTAATGAATATTCTCTAGGATGATGCAAACATCATACGTTAACTTCTATTATTTTGGACTAAATTTGATAGTTCTTTGCCCTTAACCTATTGGTTATATCATAATTATCATTGATCAAATTTGTTTTGTTGTATTGATAAAAAAAACTTTGATCGTTTGTTTCAGATTTTTGCTACATCGAAGAAATAAACGGACCCTCAAAGGATTATTGCGACGAGAACGCAACGCAGTATCCATGTAATCCCAACAAAGGCTATTATGGGCGAGGACCGATCCAACTCTCTTGGAACTTCAACTACGGGCCAGCGGGAACCGCGATTGGTTTCGACGGTCTTAACGTACCAGAAACAGTAGCCACGGATCCGGTCATATCCTTCAAGACCGCCTTATGGTACTGGACCAACAGAGTTCAGCCTGTTATCTCACAAGGCTTTGGTGCAACGATCCGCGCCATCAACGGCGCTTTGGAATGCGATGGAGCCAACTCAGCCACGGTTCAAGCTAGAGTTCGCTACTACACCGATTATTGTCGTCAGTTGGGTGTTGACCCCGGAAACAACCTCACTTGCTAACAAAAAAACATCTACTAGTAATCTATTTACTTTGTATACACACACATTACAGAAATAAAAGTAATGACGCGTTAATGTTATAGATTCTTTTATTTTGCACTAAAAATGTTTAAACCCGGGTCTATCCGAATAAGTTGACTAAGAAAATGTGATTTAATTTCGCATGGAAGGTGACCTAAAATATGGTGACATCTCAAACCATTCCCCTTATCTCTTGGTCATAATGTTATATGACTCCTGGACCCTTAATAATAAAAAATAACTTCGTTAATGTTTTAATGTAACGGCCTATGAACTTGTTACATCATTTATTTAGAAAGACATGGAAAGGATTTGTTGTGATCAACACCATAGTAATGAAGAAAGCCTTTAAAGACATGACCACTTATGGTTACAGTCGCTTGATAACAGATCTCTGCTTGTTCGTTGTTGCTTACCGCTGTTACTCTTATCCTTTTAAAAACCGCCGGAGCTTCGATTTTACCCGGTAACCCTTCTTTGAAGCTTGTCTCTACAGTTTCCCCAAAAAACAAAATCCAAAATTTTAGATCCAAAAAGATTTTTTTTTATTTTTATTTTTTATTTTTTATTTTATTGATTTATTTTTTATTTTCGATTTTTATTACCTTGACGAGAAGAAGTGGTTGTCGGAAGGATCAAGACACTTTTGGGTTTGACGGAAGGATCGATTTTGAGCCTCTTGTTCCTGTCGGAAGACGAAGAAGAAGAGCGGCTTGCGGAGCGATGATGAGAAGAAGGAAGCCACGTGCTCTTCACGTGAGTGGAACAGTTGTAACCTCTGCTTTTGCAACAAGTCCGACATCTTTCGAACAGACACTCTTTCTTCGCTCTGTTCCCACAATCTTTACACACTTTCTCTTCGACATCACTGTTCCTCGACGACTTGTTGTTCTCTTCCACCGCCGAGAAGTTTACCGGCGTTGGCTGTGTAATCTGCGACGGTGGTGGTGGTGGTAAGAAGATGGTGTTTCTGAAGCCTAGCATGTAGTCTGGAGAACTGATTCCAGCAGCAGAAACGGTGGAGGAGTGATCAGGGACGGTGGACGCGGCGGAGGAGAAAGGCGTTGATGGATGTGGTGGCCATGAGAGGAGAGAAGGTGGGTTTGCCACTGTGGAAGTAGGAGCTATGTTGTAGGTTGAAGAGGTTGTATGAGCTATGGAGCCTAGTGAGTAGTGAGAGAGAGATGGCGATGGAAGTAGGGGTGGGCACGGATCGGATATCCGGGTTTTTTAAGGCATTTGTGATTTGCTTCGAATGTTACGGATATCTAATTTTGGTATTTGCTTTGCTTCGAAAAAATACGGATATCTGGAAAAACGGATATCTGGAAAATAAATAGATATTTGCGGATATTTACGAATATTTACGGATATCTCATCCATTTTGATTAATACAAATAATCTTAAGATTTTGATACAAATTTGCTTTGCAAAAATAGTTTTTTGCATGATATATAAAATAAAACTTAAAAGAACTAGTGAATTTATATATTTTGTAATTTTTAAGCTTAAGTTACAACACAAAATTTAAGAAAAAAATATAATTGTCATAATTTTCTTTCTTTCTTTTTATGTAATACTTTTATATAAGTAATAATTTGAATAGAATTTTTCAAAATCATATGCTAGAATAATAATTATG